ACAAATATGGCAAACATTCAATGCCGTTATACAATTAACAAAGACAGTGTCATATGTTCTGCAGTTGGTGTTGCTTGGTGATGGAAGGGTTAATGTAAGTATTAGTTGTAAAGGGTTTTGTAATCTGTAAGTAAGAGTTCATGGGTGAAAGCAATTAAGGGTGGAGGTATGCAAGAGATAGGTTGCAGCTGGATATAAGGAGTGAGCCTTGGAAGTGATCTTTGGGAGAAACGTATTGTTATATTTTGGTGGTGGATGCTGCTGGTTTTCCCCCCAGGTCTGTTGGATTTTCGGTATCCTGACTTGTCTCTTGTAACCTTGGAACCCTAGAACCTTGAACCTTTGGACTGGCTTTTGACTGTGGTATAGACTCTTGATCTCTGGACTTTGTTTATTGAACTCTCGGCGTTTGACCACTGGACTGGACCCTTTGACTGCGATGTAGCTTTTGCTATCAGTTTTTGTTTATTCTGTGGCTGAGTGCTATCTTTATGTTTTATATTTTGGTCTATTAAAAAGCCAGCAAGTAAGTGCTGTTTTAATTAAACTGTTTGATAAAACTGGGAGTTTGGTTCATCTCTACCTAAATAAGGCAGAGCCCTAGCAATGTGACAGACAGACAGTACATAAACAGAAGTAAAGGCTTCCCATCTGTTTCCATCCTTGGCATCTGGAGGCTGTGCTTGACTCCGGCCATGGGTGTGCGTGTGTGTGCTGCCTCTCCATTTTCCATGTTGAGGAGATTTGTTGTCCTTAGACGCTCTCCTGATTGAATTGCCAGCATGTCCATATGGGTGCCTTTTATTACCTACCCGACAAAGCGGTACCTATTTATCTACTCACATTGCTGTTTTTTAACTGCTAAGGTAAAGGTAGTCCCCTGACATTAAGTCCAGTCATGTCTGACTCTGGGGTGTGGTGTTCATCTCCATTTCTAAGCCGAAGAGCCAGCGTTGTCCGTAGACACCTCCAAGGTCATGTGGCCGGCATGACTGCATGGAGCGCCGTTACCTTTCCACCGGAGCGGTACCTATTGATCTACTCACATTTGCATGTTCTTGAACTGCTAGGTTGGCAGAAGCTAGGGCTGACAGCGGAAGCTCACGCCGCTCCTCAGAATCGAACCTGCGACCTTTCAATCAACAAGCTCAGCAGCTCAGTGCTTTAACCCACTGCGCCACCGGGGGCACTGCTAGGTGAGCAGAAGCTGGGCTAACAGTTGGTAGCTCACCCCAACCTGAGCTTGAACTCAACCTTTCGAACAGCAAGATTTTCTGCATCTGGTGGTTTAACCTTCTCTGCTAAAGCTCGGCCCTATCTTCCTTTGCTCCTGTTGGTAAATGGCATCAAACAGTATACTGCACTGTGGGTTAACAACACCAACATTCAGAGACTAAGAAAGGTCCAATTTTCTTCCAGGAAGAGCTGGATTTCATGTCTAGTCACAATGCGCTTGCCTGTATGCAGAGGATGCATATGGAATGCTAGGGAATGAAGATGCCCGCTCCCAGTATTTCATAGTAACACTGAAAGTGACCTCATCTTGAATCAGATCCTTGGTCCATCTAGCTCACTATTGCTCAGCTATGCTTTCCCCAGTTGTTTCTAGGATTCCTATTCTTTGCTCTACCTCAGTGGTTCCCAACTTTTTTTTATGAGGGACCTCTTGACCAAGGACCACTTTGACCAGGGGGCACTCTCCCACATGACTACCTAAAGCAGTGTTTCTCAACCTGGGGGTCGGGACCCCTGGAAGGGTCGCGAAGAGGTGTCAGAGGGGTCGCCAAAGACCATCAGAAAACACAGCATTTTCTGTTGGTCATTCTGTGTGGGATGTTTGGCCCAATTCTATCATTTGTGGGGTTCAGAATGTTCCTTGATTGTAGGTGAACTATAAATCCCAGCAAGTACAACTCCCACATGTCAAAGTCTATTTTCCCTAAACCCCATCGGTGTTCACATTTGGGCATATTGAGAATCCATGCCAAGTTTGGTCCAGATTCATCATTGTTTGAGCCCACAGTGCTCTCTGGATGTAGGCAAACTACAACTCCCAAACTCAAGGTCAATGCCCACCAAACCCTTCCAGTATTTTCTGTTGATCATGGGAGTTCTCTGTGCCAACTTTGGTTCAATTCCATCATTGGTGGGGTTCAGAATGCTCTTTGTTTACATGTTAACTATAAATCCCAGCAACTACAACTCCCAAATGACAAAATCAATCCCCCCACAACCCCACCAGTATTCAAATTTGGGCATACCGGGTATTTGTGTAAAATTTGCTCCAGTGAATGAAAATACATCCTGCAGATCATTATTTACATGGCGATTCATAATGTTAGGGTTATGATTGGGGGTCACCACAACATAAGGAACTGTATTAAGGGGTCGCGGCATTAGGAAGGTTGAGAACCACTGACCTAAAGGATTCCGAATCGGTTTTTGGTCAACTTTAGATTCAGTTTGGTTATTTGGGGTGCTCATTCCGAAAATTGCATTGGACAGATCACATCAGCTCTAGTTTCTGATACAGTAGTTGCCATCTCCTCACCCACAGAAACCATATTTAATAATCTAGAGCTGATGTGGTCTATCTAAGGGGGCGGGATGTCATATGTTCTACAGTTGATGGTGGTTGGTGGTGGTAGACCTGGCAGTTGGGGATGGAAGGGTTAATGTAAGTCTTGGTTCTAAAGGGCTGAGTAGTTTGTAAGTAACAGTTTACAGGTAAAAGCAATTAAGGGTGGAGGTGTGCTGGAGATGGGTTGCAGCTGGGTGTTACTGGCTTTTTACTAGAGCATTTGATCTATGTTAATTTATTAATATTTGTATGTATTTTATTCTGTACAATTTCGCTATGTAAATTGCCTAGAGCATCTCGGATGGAGGGTGATTAATAAGTAATTAAATATGATGATGATGATGATGATGATGATGATGATGATGATGATGATGATTTAAGGAGCTAACTTTGTGACTGATTTTTGGGAGAAAAGTATCTGTTGTATTTTGGTGGTGGATGCTGCTGGTTTTCCCCCCACGTCTGTTGGATTTTTTGGTATCCTGACCTGTCTCCTGTAATCTTGGAATCCTGGAACCTTGAACCTTTGGACTGGCTTTTGACAATGGTATAGACCAGTGGTTCTCAACCTTCCTAATACCACGACCCCTTAATACGCTTCCTCATGTTATAGTGACCCCCAACCATAAAATTAGTTCCATTGCTACTTCATAACTGTCATTTTGCTGCTGTTATGAATAGTAATGTAAATATTGGATATGCAGGATGTATTTTCATACACTTGGCCAAATTTGGCACAAATACCCAATACACCCAAATCTGAATACTGGTGGGATTAGTGGAGGGTATTGATTTTGTCATTTGGGAGTTGCAGTTGCTGGGATTTATAGTTCACTTACAATCAAAGAACATTCTGAACCCTACCAACAATTGAATTGGGTCAAACTTCCCACACAGAACCCCCATGACCAACAGAAAATACTGTGTTTTCTGGTGGTCTTTGGTGACGCCTCTGACACCCCCTCGCGACTCCTCCAGGGGTCCCGACCCCCAGATTGAGAAACACTGGTATAGACTCTTGATCCCTGGACTTTGTTTATTAAATTCTCAGCATTTGACCATTGGACTGGACCCTTTGGACTACGAAGTTATTTTTGCTATCCGTTTTTGTTTATTCTGTAGCTGGGTGCTATATTTATGTTTTATGTTTTGGTTTATTAAAACAACCAGCAAGTAAGTGCTGTTTTAATTAAACTATTTGATAAAACTGGGAGTTTGGTTCATCTCTACCTAAACAAGGTAGAGCCCTGGCAACGTTACACGGGACTGATCATCAACAAGCACAAAAGGAGCGAAAATAAAATTAAAAATAAAAAGAAAGGAGACTCACAGACCAGATTTTGGTCCTTGCAGACAAACTGGTGGTCTGCGGTCCACAGGTTAAGAACCACTACTCTACCTGGATTATTCTATGATGGTCCCCCATGCAAATACAAAACAGATCTAACCCTGCTTAGCTTCCAAGACCCAACGAGATTGAATGAAGTCGGCGTGAAACACTGATCCTTCAACAAATGCAGATTGTAACTATTGCATACTGTTGTTGGGTCAACTTCAGATCCCAGAGCAGTGGTTCTTAACCTGCGAGTCCCCAAAAGTTTTGCCCTTCAACTCCCAGAATTCCTAACAGTTGGTAAACTGGTTGGTATTTCTGGGAGTTGTAGACCAAAACACTTGGGGACCCACATATTTAGAACCACTGCTCTGGAGTTATTCCTTGTAATGGACCTCAAGAATGTGTCTCCTTCCTTTCCCATGCACCTGACTCCTAGGTGGAGGCCGATGGCTATGTTGTTCCCAGTGGAAATAAAGATATGTCTCAAATGCCTTCCGTCCAGAGCCAATGTTAGGCCAGACATTCCTAAATGAATGAAGAAGTCCAACCAAGAAGGAAGGGAATGCAAAAATTAACATTTAGCCTCTAAATTCAAGACTTCAGAAGCCAGGTAAGATGGCTAAATCTTTCTCTTTTTCAGAACAGAGTGTCTTTACTTTTGTTCTCCTTCCCTACCAGTTTGGAATAGAAAATACGATGATATCAAGCTTGTCTTCTTCCCAGCGAGTTAATTCTGTCCCCCATTCCTCTCCCACTGCATCACTTCATAACTATTGCGGCCTTTTGGGTACAGTTTACTTGGTTTCTTTTTTCTTTTTGCCAAGACTTTGGAAAGCGGTCAAAGCGGAGGGCTGTTTTGTGCCCCTTTATTTTTTATTTCTCCGCCAACCGACCGAAGAGAACAGGGGGACGGGGCCCTCCCTCCATCCTTGGCCTCCCCATCTCCAGTCGCCAGAGGTAGACTCTCTCTTTTATGAATGGAAGGAAACACGGCACCAAAGGCTCGCTCAGCTCCACTTTGCCTCCAATTTTGGCTCCGGCTGTTTCTATAGAGACCGAAAGGAAGCTTTTGGTCAGCTACCCAGCTATTAAAGTGTAGCGCATTGAGAACTTTCTTCATGCTGTGATACCTATTCAAGAAGCAGAATAGGGTCTGAACTAATCCATGAAAGTTGTCATGCTCTGAGCTCGTCGCCGGCCCTTTTCCCTTTTCAATCTGGCCTAGAACTATACTGTACTTCACAGTTCATTGGCCCTTCAGATACAAGGACTCAATATCCCTGCAGGAAATAGTCTGTCTCTGTGAACAGTAGTGTTGAACGTGGAAAGACCTTGTACCTCTCCGCCGACATAATTAGTCGCTCTTCACAAATGAGCTTCAAGTTTAGGGGAGATTTCTTTCTTTCCTTCTCCTCCTCCTCTTCTCCCCTTTTCCATTTCTTTCCTCCTTTCCGCCTTTCTTCCCCTTTCTGTTTAACTTTCTCAACTTGACTCTGTTTGGCAAAGTTTCCCCAAATCTTTCTGTCTCCAACTATTGCAAAGGCATCCCTTTTCCTCCTCTTTCGTCCCTTTTCTATACCTGACATCAAGGAGCTGGAGTGGTCCTGAGTGAAGGCACTATATAAACAAGGTAAACAACAGAGTTTTTTTCTCCTTTTCTGTCTATGTTTGGTCTTAACGTCACCAAAATCAATATTTCGGTGTACAGTTTGGTTGGGTCTCTCCATCTCCCTTTCCACCCAGCGAAAGAAGAATATTTCATTTTAGCTTTGTGCACTATATAACCAAGGAAAACATCAGTGTTTTTATTGTTTCCTGTCTATGTTTGATCCGAATGTCACCGAAATCAATATTTCGGTTTACAGGTTGGTTGAGTCTCTCCATCTCCCTTTCCACCCAGCGAAAGGAGAATATATCCTTTTAATTTTGTGCACTACACAGCCAAGGAAAACAGCAGTGTTTTTTATTGTTTCCTGTCTATGTTTGGTCCAAACGTCACCAAAATCAATATTTCAGTGTACAGGTTGGTTGAGTCTCTCCATCCAGCTTTCCATCCAGCAAAAGGAGAATATTTCCTTTTAATTTTGTGCACTATATAACCAGGTAAACAGTAGTGTTTATTTTTCCCCTTTTCGATGTTTGGTCTGAACATCACTGAAATCAATATTTTGGTGTACAGTTTGGTTGGGTCTATCCATCTCCCTTTCCACCCAGCGAAAGGAGAATATATCATTTTTAGTTTTGCGCACTATATATCCAAGGTGAACAGCAGTTTTTTTCCCTCCTTTTCTGTCTATGTTTGGTCCGAACATCACCAAAATCAATATTTTGGTTTGCAGGTTGCTTGGGTCTCTCCATCTCCCTTTCCACCCAGCAAAAGCAGAATATACCCTTTTAATTTTGTGCACTGTATAACCAAGGTAAATAGCCATACATCCTGGAAAATGCACAACAACCAGCAGTGTTTTCTTTTCTCCTTTTCTGTCTATGTTTGGTCTGAACGTCACCGAAATCGATATTTCTGTGTACAGGTTGGTTGAGTCTCTCCATTTCCCTTTCCACCTAGCGAGAATATACCCTTTTAATTTTGTGCACTCTATAACCAAGGTAAATAGCCATACAGCTCGAAAAACACACAACCAGCAGTGTTTTTTTTCCCTCCTTTATGTTTGGTCCGAACGTTACTGAAATCAATATTTTGGTGTACAGTTGGTTGGGTCTCTCCATCTCCCTTTCCACCCAGCGAAAGGAGAATATATTATTTTTAGTTTTGCACACTATATATCCAAGGTGAACAGTAGTTTTTTTTCTCCTCTTCTGTCAATGTTTGATCTGAATGTCACCAAAATCAATATATCGGTTTATAGGTTAGTTGGGTCTCTCCATCTCCTTTTCCATCCAGCAAAAGGAGAATATACCTTTTTAATTTTGTGCACTGTATAACCAAGGTAAATAGTCATACAGCCCGAAAAACACACAACAACCAGCAGTGTTTTTTTTCTCCTTTTCTGTCTATGTTTGGTCCAAACGTCACCGAAATCGATATTTCTGTGTACAGGTTGGTTGGGTCTCTCCATCTTCCTTTCCACCCAGTGAAAGGAGAATATACCCTTTTAATTTTGTGCACTGTACAGCCAAGGTAAACAGCCATACAGTCCGAAAAACAGACAACCAGCAGTGTTTGTTTTCTTCTCCTTTTCTGTCTATATTTGGTCCGAACGTCACTGAAGTCAATATTTTGGTTTATAGGTTGGTTGGGTCTCTTCATCTCCCTTTCCATCCAGCAAAAGGAGAATATACCCTTTTAATTTTGTGCACTGTATAACCAAGATAAATAGCCATACATCCCGGAAAACACACAACAACCAGCAGTGTTTATTTCCTCCTTTTCTGTCAATGTTTGATCTGAACGTCACCAAAATCAATATTTTTGTGTACAGGTTGGTTGGGTCTCTCCATTTCCCTTTCCACCTAGTGAGAATATACCCTTTTAATTTTGTGCACTCTATAACCAAGGTAAATAGCCATACAGCTCGAAAAACACACAACCAGCAGTGTTTTTTTCCTCCTTTATGTTTGGTCCGAACGTTACCGAAATCAATATTTTGGTGTACAGTTGGTTGGGTCTCTCCATCTCCCTTTCCACCCAGCGAAAGGAGAATATACCATTTTAATTTTGTGCACTGTATAACCAAGGTAAATAGCAGTACATCCCAGAAAACACACAACAACCAGCAGTGTTTATTTCCTCCTTTTCTGTCTATGTTTGGTCCGAACGTCACCGAAATCGATATTTCTGTGTACAGGTTGGTTGGGTCTCTCCATCTTCCTTTCCACCCAGCGAAAGGAGAATATATCCTTTTAATTTTGCTTTGACGTCCCCAACGAGCTATGGCTTCCAATAGTGCTCGGGGACGATGGATGGGATAAGTCGACCGCCATCTAAATTAAGACTTCACGGCTTCGGCGCTGCTACTGTACATTATTAATGTTCTAACAAGAGTAAATGCCTTGAATGGCACAGACCAAAAGGGGGCACCAGGGTATTGGGAAGCGAAGGTGCTTTGAGAACATTAAGAGGGGAAATTAAAGTTTAATATGACTTTTTCTGGTCTATTGTTAGAGATAGCAGGGAAACGAGAGGGGGGAATAATTCACAGCAAAAGTTGAAGCAAAGTTTTGGATTATATATATATATACATATATATATGAACAACTCTTTGATTCATCGCAGCTGTATGGATTCAGTAAGTCTTCTCTCCCATCCCTTGATTAAGTTGTATTAAGTTTCTAAGGAGCTTAGTTTGCTTTGGAGGAAAGGAGGAAAAGGCATTAAGATGGAAATGTTTGCACAATGTCATGAACTGCATAATTGTCCAGAACCGGGAGCTGGATTTCTCTTTTTCGCAAGTGAGTACTTAGGAAGGAAAAGAGATTGTTTTGAACCTTGACGACATCCGAAATGCAATTGTTGATGCCCTTTGTTCCGTTCCAGAAGGCACTTTGATTGACTTTGGAGGGGAATCTATATCAGCATGTCTGTGTTTGAAACGGCTCAATGGCTTTGGACCCTCCAAAGTCGAACGCCTTTCTCCTTCCCAACAAACAGTTAATCAACCCAGCAACCATTTTGTCTCCTTGCTTCCATTTTAAGCAGCTCCGCTTATGGATTTTTTGGGGGGCAATAATGTTATCCTTTGTGTGAATTAAAAGGAAATCTATCATTGAGGGCCGCTCCTGGTTTGACACGGAGGCCTTGTCTTCCTTAATTGATGCTCGTTCCGGTTACTGTTAGTCAAAGCTGAGCCAATTTTCTGTTGTCCCATGTTTCTGCTGCACCTATGAATGGGAAAATATATTTTTCAGAGGATTGTTTTTGGTGATTGTATGCTTCCCTAGTGTTTTGCCCAGGGCCGCTAATGGTTTGATGCCGGAACCATGGCTTCCTTAATTGATGCACTATTTTGCTCATTCCGGTTCCGTTAGTCAAATCTAAGCCAATTTTCAGTTGTCCCATGTTTCTGCTGCACCTTTGGATGGGAAAATATATTTTTCAGAGGATTGTTTTTGGTGATTGTATGCTTCCCTAGTGTTTTTCCCAGGGCCGCTCCTGGTTTGATGCTGGGACCATGGCTTCCTTAATTGATGCACGGTTTTGCTCATTCCGCTTCCGTTAGTCAAATCTAAGCCAATTTTCAGTTGTCACATGCTTCTGCTGCACCTATGAATGGGAAAATATATTTTTCAGAGGATTGTTTTTGGTGATTGCATTCCTCCTTATGTTTTGCCCAGTTCCACTCCTGGTTTGATGCTGGGACCATGGCTTCCTTCCTTGATGCACAATTTTGCTCATTCCAGTTCTGTTAGTCAAATCTGAGCCAATTTTCTGTTGTGCCATGTTTCTGCTGCAACTGTGAATGGGAAAATATATTTTTCAGAGGATTGTTTTTGGTGATTGCATTCCTCCTTACGTTTTGCCCAGTTCCACTCCTGGTTTGATGCTGGGACCATGGCTTCCTTCCTTGATGCACAATTTTGCTCATTCCGGTTCTGTTAGTCAAATCTGAGCCAATTTTCTGTTGTGCCATGTTTCTGCTGCAACTGTGAATGGGAAAATATATTTTTCAGAGGATTGTTTTTGGTGATTGCATTCCTCCTTACGTTTTGCCCAGTTCCACTCCTGGTTTGATGCTGGGACCATGGCTTCCTTCCTTGATGCACAATTTTGCTCATTCCGGTTCTGTTAGTCAAATCTGAGCCAATTTTCTGTTGTGCCATGTTTCTGCTGCAACTGTGAATGGGAAAATATATTTTTCAGAGGATTGTTTTTGGTGATTGCATTCCTCCTTATGTTTTGCCCAGGGCCGCTCCTGGTTTGATGCCGGGGCCATGGCTTCCTTAATTGATGCACGATTTTGCTCATTCCGGTTCCGTTAGTCAAATCTAAGCCAATTTTCAGTTGTCACATGCTTCTGCTGCAACTATGAATGGGAAAAAATATTTTTCAGAGAGTCGTTTTTGGTAATTGTATACCTTTTTGGTGTTTTGTAAGGTCATTGACTTCAGCATCATTGTGCTGTTTTCGAGGTTGTTTTCGAGTTTCTTTTTGGTAATTGTATACCTTTTTGGTGTTTTGTAAGGTCACCGACTTCAGCATCATTGTGTATTCCGTTTTAAAAAAGGTTGTTTTCAAGTTTCGAAATGCACCCAGTGATGTGAAATATAGAAAGACTTTTTTTGGAGTGTCGCGTGACCTTGGGTTTATATTGTAAGCTGAGCAAAATCCTATTTCTTTTGCATTTTCTTATCTGATATATTTTTTAAAAAATCAAGACGGTAATTGACTTTAGAAATTGAGATTAACTTCATCCAAAAAAATGGTATTGTCGAAGGCTTTCATGGCCGGAATCACTGGGTTCTTGTAGGTTTTTTTCCGGGCTATATGGCCATGTTCTAGAGGTATTTTCTCTTTTAGAATGCCTCTAGAACATGGCCATATAGCCTGAAAAAAAAAACCCTACAACAACCCAATATTTATTTATCTATTTGAGACATTTATATTCTGCCCTTCTCACCCCAAAGCGGACTCAGAGTGGCTTACAAGGTATATGTACATACAATATATTATAT